TTGAAGTTCCTTGACAGCAACCCAGGTGGTGGCATTTGGCGCAACCATCGCTGCATGTGCATCACAAGCGGCCTGGACCCAGGCTCTGTTGGTGCTGATGATTGTGATGGCTATTGCCCTTACATAGAGGTTGTATGGTGGCTATACAGGGGTCATATGGGGTGATATACATATACATATACATATACATACATACATACATACATACATACATACATACATACGTATATAGGGTTTTGGTGGGTTTTAATGCGGTTGTTTCCCCGATGATAAAAAAAAAATCAAGTGGAAAAGCAAATGGACAACGAAATGCATGGCAAATCACATGGAAGAGAAAATGGCAAATGAAATGGAAACGATGATGACGCTGCTGAGGGGGGAGACTGTCAGGTACCGTCACAGACCTGCGCCGTGTCCATGCAGACAGGGAGGAGCGTCTTGCATTTCAAAATTTGATAATATCCCCTAAACCCTAAACCCTAATACCCTGATACCCTAAACCTGCGGCCAGGCACTTCAACTGCTCAGAGACCTGGACTCGTCGATGCTGGAGGCAGATTCTCGGGAGAGCCCCCTTATTCGATCTCAACAGCCAACGGCATCGCTGAAAGAAAATCGGGTAGCTTCCATAAACAGAGGGACTCAACCAACATTAACATAGACCCCAAATACTACAATACTTATTATGGGACCCTCAGAATGTTTGCTTTAAGTTTCGGAAACCCCCGCAGAACTGCACCTCGCAACAAACACCCCGCTGTGTGGTGCTGTGACCTGACTTTTGAATTCCCGTGCCTCGTGCCGAGACCAACATCGTGCACATCAGTGCAGCAGTCACCGCTTGTGATAAGGGTGTCTAAGCTTGCTTTAGATGCAGATACCGACTTCTGCAGCTCAAGGTCATGACTTTTTTTCCTTTTGACAGATATTGAAAGAAAAATCCTAAAGGGAACACATGGCTTTCGATACGTTTCAGAGATCGAACTTATCAACTCAGGTGGTGCATGGACGCAGGCCCTCCGCTTGCTGCAGGCTATTCCAGAGCGAAGCTTGCAAGCAGCCACTTGGACAAGACGCATGTTGGCTCATCCGCATATTGGGGGTTGGCAAACATCAGGGGTCCCTTCTTGGGTCAGGATCATGGGGTATACAAGGCAGTTCCCTGTTCATGGAAACCCCATATACCCTATACCCTAAACCCTAAACCCTTAACCGTGTAATATAACCCAATCCAAAGAGCTCTTGGCTTCATATCATTCACTGTTTTTTTGCTCGAGGCTTTGGGGTGTCTGCAGAAAGGCTCCTTCGCCATGGTCCTTCAAAAGGCTTTCCAGAAGTCCTGATTTGCATGATCGATTTATCAAGCCATGCCCAGCCCAAAAAGGGTAACAAAACCTGACACGTGTCGAAGGAATTCGCGGCTGAACTTCTGCTTTCATCACTAGAGGTATTCGCAGTTTCGGCTACCACTTGATGTGTGGTGGAACCTCCTCTGCAGGATGTCATTGTGGTGAACTCGGCTCTCAGCGCTTGTGCAACAGCGGCGGAGTGGCAGCAGGTTTCCAACCCTTTCCCTTTTGTTTTCCAGTTTTTCCATTTGAATCTTCATGATTGGGGTCATATAGTCCCCCTTAAGTAGATCGAATATGGCTTTGGGTATATCATAATAAGATCCCCATATACCCCATATCTTATTCACTTAACGGGGTCATATCCAAATAAGTTCCCTATGTCACCTTTTCCCTTATTCCTATATCATCCCCACTCATCCCTACCTAGACTCTAAGCAGTATTTTCCATTTTCTTTTCCATTATTCCCTATGAGTACCCCCCATCCAAGCAATTTGAGCTTCCTGTCCTTCCTGTGTGCTTCTGGGTATAGGGTTTAGGGACATCACGTACCCCGAAAGAAATATATAGATATATACATACATATATATATATACATTGACATAGTGGGGATTATTCAGGGGATTATACAGGGTCGTAAGGGGAATTACGTAGGGATACGTGGGGATGTTATACAAGGATCACACAGGGAATGGGGAAAACGCAGAGCAATCTGGAATAAAAGGTTGTGTGTGTGTATATATATATATAGATGTAAGGCGGTTATATCTGGATATTACACCCCAAAAAAATGCAGAGTCAACTGCAAAATGGACAATGAAATCGAAACTGTCTTTACGGAGGGAACTGTTATTTGTTTTCTTCTTGTGCGGTTCTGAACCAAGTGGTTGGAGGCCCTTCGACTCTTCCGCAACCTTTCAGTGCAAGGCGTGGAGTCTGATGTTGCGAGGCAGCAGGCAGAAGGGCGCATAGCAGCTGCATTGAAGAGTTGGTGTGCCACAGCAACTACTGTGTGAAGCTGATGTTAACAGATCACAGCTAGAGGCTAGCTGCTGAAATGTCGGGAATGCCAGAGGTTGGTATCTTGTTGGTTGATCAGAATGCAGTGGTGCTGGCATGTGGCTGCAGAGGACATGTGAAGTTCCACCTGGACGGGAGTGTAAGACGTATGGTCGAAGATTGTGGAAGAGCCTGCAGTACTAAACTGTTTAAAACCCTATACCCTAAACTCTGAACCAAATACCGCCCAGACGGTCTCAGTGCGAGGTTGTATCTCACAATGCCGTCATCAGCAGCCTCGAAAAGGGTGGATCGGCTGACTTGCCCGTACTGAAAGTCCGCACTCGTGCTACCTGTGGGGGGTCTCACAAAGTTGGGGGGTTACCTTGAAAGAGGATCATAGCGGTTCAGGGTTATATGAGGGTATATGAGGGGACATAAGGGTTTAGGGTTTAGGATTTCGCACAGTTAGGGGTGCCTTTTTGTGGCTCCCTCTATCAAGGATTATAGTATGCTAGGGTCTATTTGAGGGTCCCCTACTTAGGGAAACTATCTGTGACTTGTTCAGGGTTGGCTAGCGAGCATAGTGGCCTGTAGCCTGTCCTGTTCGGGCACTGCTTTCCAATTCGATCTTATGATTATCGGACAGGTAGGAATTGCATGGCTGTTGTGGTAAGGCAGGCCGTGCGGAATGTACAATGACGGCAACTTGAAAATTCAGCCAAATTTCAGCCAGGAAATATCGAAGTTGACTACCATCTCCTGCAAATCTTCTTATTAAACAGCAGGCGGGCAATGGCGGCTGGCCTTGTGCGTGCTAGAGGAGATGAGCTGCAGTGAGGTAAAAGTCGCTTGGCCCACATGACCGCAATGACCCCGCAAGTCCTCAGCAAAGTACATCTAAGTGAAACTTACTGAAAGTTTCTTGTTTTCAAAGCGGACTGCTGACGAATGCAGAGAACAGATCAGGCAACCTTTTGTCAAGGTGTAGCTTCGCAGTGGAGTGGTGGTCTTTTCTCCACGAGTTTCAACTGGGTCCTGTTAACCCCACACCGCCCAGGCAAGCACCATCACGTACAACTCTGCGCTCAGTGGCTGGCTGCAGTGGTTGACGCAAGTTCCGAATGTTCCGATAAGCCAGTTGCGCATATTTGCACTGCCTTCAGCCTCAATGCCCTTGGAGAGGACCTGCTTTGTGCTGATAGTTATTGGCACGTCAGACGCAAGGAGTAATGATCTTCGTCATAGGCGCACCTCCAAGCCGTGTTGTGATCTTTGCTGAGCTCAATTTTCTCAGCAGCCCAGGTGCTTGCGTCCGAAGTGAAGAGTGGCAACAATCACTCGTCATCTTCAAGATGCTTCAGGATGAGTCTCTGGATTGCAGAAACAGCCGGTCGCCTCTGAGTAAACCCCACTGCCGACTCTGAAACTTATTGATAGCGGATGTTTACATACAAAAGGGCAGTCAAAGCTTTCCCAGCTGCCACCACAGACCATAGCAGATGCTGCCGCAGCTGCCGCCAGTGGCACAGTGATGATACTATTCTCGCACTGATGCACCACTCAGAAAGGAGAGAGGCTTGCTGCTGAGCATCGTGTCCATCACTGCGGCTATCACGGCCTGTGGGGCAGGCCATCTCATGTACACTGTGGCATTTGAAATTCGCTCACACCTTGAAGCTGCAGAATCTGCAACAGAAGCGCATCACACTTCTTGACGAGCAACCTGCCGCCTATGCCTCGGTATATGTGTTTTGAAAGATGCTCCGAGTTGTTCGACTACCCCTCCACACAGGTGATAAGTGGCAACAGGCGCTGTTGCTGGCCGCCTCGCCCCTGCCTCAGCGCGAACATCCAGCTGCTTCAGAACATGCCGCCTTTGTTGCCGTCTGGTGGTGGTGCTGGTGGTGGTAGCAGCAGGAGGAGCAGCAGTGGCAGGAGCAGCAGCTACCACTGAGTTGCAAAACTTGAAGTAGGTGTAACAGGATTTGGGAGAGAGTTGTTGGGGTTCCCTGAGGCTAAAATAACATCAGGAGGAAGTACACTGAGCAGCTCGTTCCCTTGGTTCTTGTTGAGAGTCAAGTACTCAAGCTGATGCACTTCAGATGGGACAGCCTGTCAGTCGGACGTTGTATGTCAACACCCAAGGTCTGCTTCTACAGAAGCAGGTACACCAGCCACGGCCGCCTGCAACGCTGCCATCTCTGCATGTGGCAACTGTGCGGAGTGGCAGTACCACGGCCTCGAACCGACGCTTCAGGGTACACTGCGCAGCTGCGTTGGTATGGTTAGGATTGAAGGAACGAATCTGTTTCCGTGTTGGAAGGGCAGACGTTGGGCGAAAGCATATTTGGAGGAGTTTTGAGAGTGTCATGCACCAGCTTTGCCTTCCCCTTTGCATATGCTGTTGCGCCTAGAGTAGACCGCAAAGGGTTCTGCTACTGTCCTAAGCACCCTCTCCGAATTCGCTTTGCGTGAGTCACTTGTCATTGCGTGGCCCTGAAGCAGCTTGAGCCCTGCATAATCCACTGCCAGCTGCAAGCTTCGTCGTTGCCATGCTCGGCTCAGAAGTCACTGGATTGTGTGTTTAGATTGAGACTGCTTTGATAGACCTGGTGACAGGCAACGTGTTGCCCCGCCTTGCGGGGACCATGGAAGATTCATTCCAGCGTCATCTGGAGGCGCTAAATGCCGTATATGAGCAGGTGATCTCGGAAAATGCCGAACTTCGGAAGCAGCTGGGAAACCCTGGCTCCGGGCCTCCGCTCCCACCAGTGGCAACATTGGCAACAGTCTCCACCCTAAATCTGCAGCAGGAAAATTCGCCTCAGCTTCCTGGAGCCTTGATTGAGAGTGAGAATCTCCAGCCGAATCTCTTCGACGGAACGGCCGCAAAGGCCTTTGAGAAGGAGGGTGAAGAGCTGGAGGACATCCACAATGGTGTTGAAAGCCATCCGATAACATCTCTCCCAGAGTCACCGTCCCCACCTGAATGTTCCCCGCCGCCTCTGACGGACTCGAAGTCCAATCATGCCAAGCCATCCCAGCGGCGCAGCAGTTTCATACGGCAGTCACTCATGACAGTCAACTCAGGTGAGGAGACCGAGGATGATGCAACATTTCTGTTGCTGCTGGACGTTGTCCCAGCCGTTGTTATCTTGATCAGTGCAGTGGTTGCCGGCTTCAGTGCTGACATTGCACCCGATCACACAGTATGGGTCGTTCTAGAGATGCTGTTCACCTTGTTCTTCATTGGGGAGATTGTGGTGAAGATGAAAGTGTTTGGCCTGAAGGAGTACATGTGGGGTGCTGACTGGTACTGGAGTTGGTTTGACATCCTTTGCGTCATACTGGCAATTGTGGACCTGAGCCTGAACTTGTCAGCAGCAGCCGAAGGCACTCAGAGCGACACGGGGGCTCTGAGTTCTTTGAAGATGCTGAAGCTAGCACGCTTGGGCCGCATCGTGCGCTTGCTCAAGTTCAAGATCTTCCAGGAACTCAAGCTCATGATCCAGGGCGTTTTCACTGGGCTGCGTGTGCTCTTCTGGGCTGTGGTCTTGCTTGTAGGAATGATGTACCTGCTTGGTGTGGTAACGCGAACTGTATTTGGTTCAGATCATGCTGAGTTTGGGTCAGCCACTTGGAAAGCAATAAAGAAAGCAAGGCGGCAAGGGCGCTTAGCCAGTACATCGTACAGCTACTTGTGCAACTGAGCGGCTACAAGATGCTTAGTTGTGCAAGAGCTGCTGTTTGTTTTGCAACTGTTGACTGCCAGTCGAGGTCCCTGTTGCTATGCTCACCAGCTTCCGCTGCTTCACAGATGGATGTGTAGCTTTTGATGGCACGCCACTTCAGGAGAAGCTCCAGAAGGACACGTGATCATGTTTCAGGCATTCCGACAGTGCAGGTTTGAGACAGCTATTTTTAGGAAGATTGGTCTGTCCATCCCTGTCGTCTTGGGTTGGACAGGGCAAAGATTGAATACAGGCGATTTAGACACAATGTCATGCTGGTCCTGTAACCCTTCCCCTGCCCCACATAATCAGACATATCAAGGAATGGACATCTGAATCACAGATTGTCTTGCGATTAATTAAGTTGAATCAGGACTTTGGTGGTGCATTTATGATCGCTTACATTCTCCTTTTCCTCTTTGTCACCATTGGGATTTTCAACCTGATCATGGCCACTTGCCCGAATGCCTGAGGTTAGATCGTGTCATGACAATTGAAGGTGGTGAGTAAGCGGCTGTTCTTTGCCTTAACATGCATAAGGCCGTCTTCATTGACAACGTCACGGATGGAAGCACAAAGACGCTTGGCCAGATGTTCCGAGCATGCCCTAAAAAGTAAAACGCATGTGGCGCGATGCCAAGCAAAAAAGATACACTAGAGAATCTGTCAGTCGCATCGCAGCCGTAAATGCACAGTCTTCGAATGCAGACCAGACGACCGTCCAATCATAATGGGATGTTTGATGAACTGCCAGCAACTGCTTAGGAAGCGACAGCGGGAGCTTGGACAAAATGCACCTAAGACAGCTTTCATTATCTCCGATGCGCTCAGTCACTCGCCTGCATGCGTCGTCTTCAGTAAAGCAGAACATGCACGAACAGCCTGAAACAACTTCCGACTCGAGACTGCGGAATACTTTTTAAGGGTGTTGAGGGGAAGGCAATTGTAGACTGCCAGTGCTGCCTGGACACTGCTGCGGCTCTGATATTGTAGCTGCCACAGCTACTCTCGGTGGAGTGGCCCTCCGCCTTCCCCTCCTACAGCTTGTTTGGAGCTCAGTACAGCAGCTACTTCTTCAACCGCCTGTATGACAATGATTGCGCCACTACCATTCGGCTAGCATGCTAGTATTGCTCTTGCTGCTGAACCTGCTTCCCGCGCAATTACATCCGCAAATGCAATCATTCTTGCGACTAGGGTGTCCTGACAACAGTGCAGATACTGCTGCTGCCGCTGCTGCCATGGCTGTTGCTGCTGTCGCCACTGCCTGCACGTACTGCATGTCAACATGCACAACTTCTCCCACTAGTACTTGTTCCTCCTGCATTTGTAAGATTTTGACAAGTCTATGCTCTCTTTGCGCTACGTAACTTCAGAATGTCCCTGCAGTATCCAATCGCAGAGTATCCCCGCGGTGCCGAAACACAGAGTACCCCTGCAGTCCCACCCCACAGTCTCCTTGCAACCTTCGTAAGAGAACCTTTGCAGACCTTAAGACCCCTTTCAAGGGATTGACGAGTCTATGCTCTCTTTGCACTACATAACTTCAGAATGTCCTTGCAGTGTCCAATCGCAGAGTATCCCTGCAGTGCCAAAACACGGAGTACCTCTGCAGTCCCACCCCACAGTCTCCTTGCAACCTTCGTAAGAGAACCTATACAGACCTTAAAGCCCCTTTCAAGGGACCTACAAATATAGCCCTTATAACCCCGTGAAACGGACCCTATTACAACTTGAACAGCTAACAGCCGCATGCTGGACAAGCAAGATTTATGGTGTGAATGCTGGAAGTAGATTATTATTCTTCCTCTTCTTGTTCCTGTTCTTTTTTCTTCTTGCAGCTGCTGCTGCTGCGGCGAGGCGTTTATCTTTTCGTGGTGGGTTGTTGTCACTTGTTGGCAGTTGGCTTTATGGCTGGTCGTTGTCGCTTGGTGTCGGTTGATTTTCTTGTGATTATGGTTGTTGTTGATGGTTGGTGGTTGCGGTTGGTTAGTTTTGTGGTTGGTTGTTGGTGGTTGATGTGATTGTTTTGTTGTGGCTGTTGTTGTTGTTGTTGTCGTTGCTGCTGCTGCTGCTGCTGTTGTTGCTGCTCTTCCTGCGCTGCAACTGCTGGCAGCCGCTGCCCCCAGCAGTTAGCACCACCATGACGCTTTGCAAAACAGATTTTTTCAACCACCGCCGCTGTCCTGACTGCCGCAACTGCTGTATATATGTTTATTGAAAATAAAATGGAAACTACTATAGTATATTGGGGTTATAAAATGGGATAATGGAAAAGAAAATGGAAACTACTATTTGGGGTTTAATATCGGGTAATATTAGGGATGTCTTACGAGGACACCTTATCCTGATGAACATCTTGCGAAAAGAGGCAGAGGATGAGGCCAGATGTCTTGCATGTGCTTCCATTTTCGCAATTGTTTTCTGAGCTCTTTGAAACAGAGCAGGTTATGGTTATGCATGTTTCGGGGCCTTCTTCAGATTGAAAGACTCGCACAAGATACTTAAAAGTCTCAGTAACGTTGAGGACCGTGATACCGTTGAGCTTCAAGGTTGGCTCGAACTCCCCCTTATATTGCACCAGCATCCCGCCTAATATTAGATATTCCCAATATACTATATGAGCGGACGTCAAAATACCTTGTATGTAGAAGTGCGATATGAGGTTCAGCTCTTGCCGGTTTAGTCTTCGCTACAAGGCGGCACCATGCATAGACGCAAGTTTCGGGCTCTTCCCCATGTAGGCGCTAGGATAGCGCTAGCGTGGCGCTAGGTATTCCTTTGATCACAAGGCCTATGGTAACGGGCTCCAAAGATGACATGGTATGAGCGGAGAATGCTTGCGTGCGAAAATTGACCTTTCGGCTTGTAGGGTAGGGTAGCTGGCGTCGCGGGCATGGCTTGGCGAAACGAGGAAATCCGCACCTGTAGGACCGATCTCAAACCTTTTCTAGTCCCAGAGAGTGACAATTGAGTGACATGTCCATATTCATTGCAGTGTTTGCTCCAGATGCAGAATGCCAGCATGCCCGGCATGGAAGAGCTGGCGGGAGCTATCCACAGCGAAATCCTAGACTCCTAGACCCTACATTCCCACGCGGCCCGCTGAGCCCGACCCTCACCCATTACGAGGGTGGTCAGTCAGCGAAGATACACTTCAGTCTACACACCTTTGGGCGGAAGAGATAGAGAATGCACGAATAGAGCTCCTGGAGACGACTCGCGAGTCCTAAAATAAAGGTGCTAGTGTATTTTGTGAGGTTTCTGTAGAGGGTACAAAGTCAGTACTACTACTCTTCCATATTTGCCAGAGCCATCATTCCACACCTTTGTTTTCCTTTTTGTCGTAAGGCGGCACCATGATTTTTGCAGCATTCGCGCTTCCTGGAAGAAGGAATATTGACAGCCATCCATATAATGTACCGCAATATAGGGGGGTGGGGAGGTTTAATATTAATTAGGGGGAGGGGATTCTGACATACGGCCCCGAGCCCAGACCCCTTAGCGTTCCCAGCAGGCGGCTGAGATGGAGAAGAAGGGTCGGCCCCGCCGTGTCTCGAAGATTCTGAAGGAGAACCTTAGAATTTGCAGCAAAGGGCTGGGAATACATGAGCCACAGTCGAAACTCCTTAAAGGGGGATTAAGCGTACAATCATAGGGCTTATCAGGGTGGATACCAGGAGTTTATACAATAGCTCACATGCGTAACGAAAACAGGTGCAACGCCACAACCGGTGGCAATGCAGTTGTCCAGGAAGTGTGGTTTTGAATTTATGGTCCCCCTTAAGTAGATAGAATATGGATTTGGGTATACACTAATAAAATCCCCATATGCCCATATTCCATCTACTTAAGGGGGACTACAGTTGTGACTGGGCGCACGCAGCCAAGGAAGCTACGGGGCCTAAAAGAAATGTGCCTTGGCGCTGCTTGCTTTTTAAACAAGAGTAGTAATAGTAATCACAGTGACACTGGTAATCGTTATAACAGTAATAGCAGTACTGATCGTAATAATAGCAATAATCTTGAGACCGCCGCCTTTGCCGGGTCCTTTTCCTCATCCGAAGTAAGGAAGCTTCTATCAGACGGTCCGCATTATCACTCGCTGTTGATGTTTTTGAGACCTCAATTAATGCTGCAGCCTTGCTTCAGGATTAATTATTGTCTGAAGCCATGTGTGCAGGTATGGCTACAAGCCGCACAGTCAGCACGAATATGACGCGCTCACGGCCCAAATCCGCGCAGAGATGGTTGAGAGAAACATTGTTGTCACCAAGGATGTTGCCCATCACATGCAGCGGGCATTGTGAAGAAGCCCTATGAAGCATTGTCACCTTAAGAACATGATGTGCTACCAAGCTGTGTCAGACACACTTCTTGAGTGACCGTCTTCAGGTGTTGAGCAGACTTAAGCTAGGATAGTTCTTTTCTGGGGCCTCGCAGGACGAGTTCAATCATTGGCTTCACACCGAGAAGGGCCTCTTGGAAACGCTAGACGACTGTGAGATAGACTTGTCCTGCACCTTGGCCTGCTTTTACTGCATCGATCAGGATCCAAGGATCGTTAGGTTCAAACACGCACGATGAGAAGCCAGGCTTAGTAACAGATGAGTAGCTCCTAGGTCCTAGACAAGTCAGACCCCAGCAGAGCTTGATTCGTGTTGCGCATTATCTGCAGCAGATGCTTATACGCCGTAGTAGGTCCGTTTAACATATTTGAAAGGGGTGTACCATGAAGAACGTGCTTTTCAGCTTCTCTTCAGTAATGTTAAATGTGAGAAGGCGGGCTGAAGTATAGCAAGTTCTTTTCGAGTCCTGCTTTGTTTTCAGGCGGTCCTGCACCGTTCTTTTTGTTTTTCTGGCATTCCAAAAAAGATCCAGAACCATCATTCGATGAGCTGGAATGCGTTCTAAGATACCCCCTGCTGTAGTGTGACTAGGCCTAAGGGCAGCGTTAGGATTTTGAGGGGGGACCCTTACAACGAGATCCGCTACTGTGCCCCTCTATTCCAGCAACCAGAACAAACCTCACGCCTATTTGGGGGGGGCCCTGGAAAAGCCTGGTCTGTGACATCTGCTGCCCAGAGATCCTCCGATAAACCTGGGAGGCCCCCCAACAGGCCTGAGCACGTGATTTTCATTGATCCTTTGCGACCCTCGCCAGGCAAGTTTGACTTGTTTGATGTACTTGACGCAGACCTGTCCGGCGAGCTGGAATTTGAAGAAATGATTGACGGCTTGCCACACGGCTGTAAGAACAGAGCTTTACGAGCTGCTTGCTACCTTCACCGCTAGCCATCCCAGCCATCCCTTAAAAAAGTAATTATAGGTATATAATAAACAATGGAGTTTCCTTATTATAGGCTCCTAACTTAAGTTCCTTAACAGCAGCCCAGGGAGCTGAGGTTGAAGTGCCGGGGCCCTGCCTCCAAGACGGATATCATTGCAATCCGCCTCAAGACAAGACTGCTGGTGCGAATGATGAACCGGGTTTGTGAGAAGCTAGGTATTGAGGGTATTGAGGCCGAAGAAGACTAGACTCCTCATCGACTTTGGAGGCCTACACTATGAGTGGCAGGCATTAACTGCCTGCATTTCGGCTGAAGGGCCCTACCAAAGCAAAGAACTCCCAGATGATTGGCAGTTGTTGGCCTCCGGGATTGAGGAGCCGCGGCTCTCAACATTCACCCCTTTTCCAAAAGAACCTCGGGAGCTCTGATCCAAGGCCCCAGTACTTAAGATTAGTGTTCAAGCACGTTGGTAGCCAGACTGATTTGGACTGTTGCTCCTTGGTTGGTTGCCATTGCATCCTGCAAAGCAGGCACTTTTCGAAACCTCTCCTGCTAAGCAGGAGCTTTGCATGATTGGTGCATTCGGTGAAAGTTTGATGAGAGTGCAATTCTTGCGCCTGCAGGGAACGAATCTTCTATTTGTCAACATAAGCAGTCCGTGACAATGTCTTCTTGATACGCTTGGCGACCCTGCACGCATGTTCTGGCAGCGAGAAACAGCCAGCTGCACTAAGTGTGCAGAAAATCTCACGCTCCTTATGCTCCGGACTACTGTCTTCTTCATGGATGTCCAGAAACAAGCCTTACATCATCTTACATCTGTTGATAGCATACGACTTCGTTCAACATTGCCATTAAACCCTAAACCCTAAACCCCGTGGTTAGCGCATCGCCAGGTCTTAGCTTTTGGGGCGATCGTTCTGCTGCAGCGCGCCAACACACCCCAGGAGGTAAGGATCCAAACCTACGTGAGCTATAGTCTAAACTCTCTAAAGGGTTCATCTAGCAGATAATATAGGGTTCAGGGCATAGGGGGTTATAGGGGTTGTTAAGGGGGATACTAGGAGTTTAGACTATAGCTCACATGGCATAGCACTTACATACACTCATAACTCAGTCTTACGAAGCCTCTCCTTCCACACTATTCAATGGCGCTCTGGCTGGCACAGTCTGATGCAAGACAAAAAGCTTTGCTTTGTCTTCTTAGCTCTTCATTTGGACTGCACGGCTGCCTGATGCTTGCACAATCCATTATCTGTGCTGACCAGCGGGGCATGAGTGCACATGAGTGAAGTTTCGCTCATTACTTGGGCGCCATGTTTGTGCTGGAGACAGTGCCCATTGCCTTGCCGCCGCATTAGATGGAAGACTAGCTGAAGATGGACAAGACGCTAAAGGCAGTTCTTGCCTCGTCCGCTGGACTTTCATGAGCTAGAAAGTGTTGGTCCATGCCCACATTTAGGGAATAGCACACTTTTTTCATGCTACTGTAGCACAGAAAGGGCTATTGTGGCACCCTTGGTACGCCTCTCGTTAGGCTGCTGCATTCTGCAGTCGCAAAGCCATGGCTGTGGGTTTGGCAGACAGTCCCTTCCATGAGCACTTGCGGGCCTTGACAGCCGAGTACGAGAGGCTGCTCATTGAAAACAAGGCCGAAAGGGTTTAGGGTTTAGGGTTAAGTTACTATATTATCCCCCTATAATGGAGAATCGAATGAAAAAGAAAATGGAAAATGAAATGGAAACTGGGATTATATAGGGGTTTATAGGGATTGGGTTTCCCAAAATTAGGGGTTGAGGTTCATGGGTTAAAGGGTTGGGGTTCAGGGGCTGAAGGGTTAGGGTTTGGGTTTAAGGATTGGGGTTCCTTGTGTTCTGGGGCCCACACACCTCTTGCAACAAATTGTGTGACTTCTTCCTGGACTCCTGGCCGAGCTGTTGAAGCTTTGCATTCAGGAGCTACGACAGGGCAGTCACGTGGCATCCTCCTCCATTTGGAGCCTTCGCCACCAGGACTTCGAGCAAAACATGCTCTCATGCCTTGAAACATTCACCGAACATGCCGGATTGTAGTTGCTGTTCACTAAGTTCAGCTTCAGGACTTTGGAGCAGCACCCAACCAGCCAGTGACCGCGAACTTCATTGAGGGCGTGGAGAGTGAGCCGCCAGACTAGATTGACTGGATCGCACGAGTCTATGGAGATTTCTGTGGACGGCATGCCGCATCCAAACCACTCTTCCACATGTCTCAAAGGGTAATTTACCACTGTTGTGCTGAACTCAAGTCCGAGGTCTCTACAGCTCCCGCACATGCCGAGTGTTACACATAAGTTGCCGCCAGGCCTGAGTGGGTTGTATCGGGAACATGGAAAGAAAATGGAAGTAATTATCATATCATGGGACATACGTTGGGGTTACAGAGACATGTTGGAATTTGACATGGAAACTACCGCATTGTTATACACTGTGACGCCTTTACTTCTGCGAGGTTCTTGGCGTGTACATTGTATGATGCACTTAGACAAGGCTCCTGATGCTGCTTTCCCATTAGAGGGACCACCCACCACCAAAAAAAAAAAGAGTACACACCTCCCCAATTTTCGGAGACCCTAATTCATCCCCACACACCCCCGACACAGACCATTTAATCTTAGATGTTTGTTTCCATTTGATTCTCCATGATTGGAAATAATATCCCTGTGTTGTTAAGAAGTCCCCTTCTCTCCTGCTCCATTATTGGGAATAATATCCCAATTTCTTGGCAGCAATAAAACCCTAAAGTACCATAATCCTTATTACAGGAACTCCCTAAAAAGGTACCCCTACTTTCGGGAAACCCTAAATCCTATATCCCCCTGTATAGCCCTTATATAACCCCTATATCCCCGCAAAAAGGTACCCCTACTTTCGAGAAACCCTAAACCCTAAATCTCCCTATATAATCCCTGTATCACCCCTATATAACCCTATTTTACCCCTAAATCCCCCCCAAAAAGGTACCCCTACTTTCAGGAAAACCCTAAACCCTATATCCCCCTTACGTAAACCCCTATATCTTCCCCAAAAAGGTACCCCTATTTCAGGAAAACCCTAAACCCTATATCCCCCTTACGTAACCCCTATATCTTCCCCAAAAAGGTACCCCGACTTTCGGGAAAACCCTGCAGGATTACCGCAGTCAATGTCTGTGAAGACGCTCAAAACGCCCAGTGCCAGCACGCCAACACCAAAGGCGAGCCCCAAGGCCGCAGCCAACAAGGCCTAGGGCCTAGGGCTTCTAAAAGCAAAAAGCATGTAAGTACCCACTAAATAATATATATATATACATCTAGTATGTATAGGGTTTTAGGGTTTAAGGTTTAGGGTTTAGGGCAATATCTTAGGTGGACTCCTCCCACCCTGTAATAGTGGAAGAATAGGAATGTATAAGGGCGCTAATATTTAAAGGGGTTATAGGGGTATGTAGGGACATTATGCCGGAACAGGGCGTATAGCGGCGGTATAGGGTTTAGGGATTTTGGGGTTGGGGACTGCAACGTTACTGAGGGATTTTGTAGGGACAAGGATGATTTTGTAGGGTTATTTAGGTAAATAAAAAGGCGAATGGACACAACTATTCAGGCAAAAGGGTGTAATGACTTTCCTCCAACAACTGAGAACCAAATGGGGCAGAAAATGGAAAATGAGATTGAAATTGCTATTTAAGGTTGAGGGTTTTATGTAGGAGTTGCAGGGGCTTTATACAAGGATTGTTCAGGGGTTATACAGTGTTTCGGGATATCATCCCAATAGTATGGGGAATTGTTAGGGGCTGGGATACTGGAACAGAACATGGAAACGACACTTCAGAGTTGAAGTTTAAAAGCTCATTTTTTTATGTAAGGTTTATAAAGGGATTACAAGGGTTATTCAGGCTTTGCATAGGTTTGTATAGGAGTTATAGAGGCTATGGATATTATCCCCCCCCCACCAATAATGGACAACCGCATGGACATGAACATGGAAAATGACATGGGAACCGGGGTCATATAGGGGTGTATATTATAGTTTATATACAGCAATTTCCCAAAATAGGTGGACCCCAATATAGACCCTAATACATTTTACAACTTAGTATGATGGGTAGGGGTCTTGGGTTTGGTGATATTACACTAATACTGGAGGACCAGGGGGTTTAGGGTTCTATAGGGATTATATAGGGATACTGGAAAAGAACATGGAAACTACTACTGTATATAGGGTCCTATAGTTTAGCGTTGGAAAAGAACAGAAGATGGTTTGGACTCTAGAAAATGTGCAGTTCGAAGACGCGTGAAATCAGAGAGTCAACTGCCCAGCTCATGATGGGGAAGTATGTAGCATGCATGCTTGCCCCGGCTCCTTCTATGCGTGCAACAAAGACCAAATTGACAATAGGGTTGCTGTCCCACGACAAGGAGAATAGAAAGTCGACCCTCAACCCTAAGATGCAACAGGCGCATAGCAAGATGCTGCCCCATATGGGGGTTTCCCAAAATTAGGAGTACCATTTTAGGGGTCCCAATAATAAGGACTATAGTATTTTGGGGTCTATATTGGGGTCCCTTATTTTGGGAAACTACCATATGCCATTGGGTGTCAGAGCCCTCTGCCTGAAAAGTGCTTGTCCCGCTCCAGCCAGACAGGATGAATGAGGGCCTTGTTTACACAGGGCATTATACAATGTCATCAGTGGTTAGTTAGGCTATTAATAGAGGCCTATTTGCGGTTGTATGAGGTCATACAAGGATTGCGAGTGCTTCAAGAGCCTTGAAGTCTTGAACAAACCTGTGTTATTTGGTAGGCGAAGCGGGCCAGATCAGAGGAGGAAGAGTCTGAGGAGAATGCAACATTGCTCCTCCTTTTGGCGCCTCAGCCTAGCTTTAGAGTGTTTAAATACTGTGCCAGCAAAGGATGCCAGGGCTATTCAGCAGACAAAGATGTTTTGACGCTGGTGATGCCATGCCGTACAAGCCATGTGAGCCCCGGGTTGGGAATGAAGCCAAGGACGTGATTCCAGCCATTGTTATCTTCCTCAGTGCAATAGTTGCCGGGCTTAGCGCTGATATCGTGCCCGATCATGAGGCTTGGAGTGGGTAAGCCATGCTGTGCTGAGCATGTTGCCAATAGAAAGCCCCCGAAGGGCAAAGGAAGATATGGCACGATTTTGTGCATTTCCCTGTGAGGTGTGGAGAATTTTTGAGATTGCCTTTACCGTCTTCTTCATCGGCGAGATCTTTGTCAAGATCAGGGTCTTTGGCGGACGGGAGCCTCCTGGCATCCGAAGTTTGGTATTTGGCATGGATGTTGAAGCTTTGCTGCTGACTGCTTTCGGCACACGGTGCTGCTGATGGCCTTCTTTTTTGTGATGCTGAGGTTCCTTTGTGGGGCGGACTGGTATTGGAGTTGGTTTGATATTTCATGCGTGATTCTCGCCGTATTTGATTTAACGCTCACCTATGTCAGCGAAGCCGCAGGCGTTGAAGCTGATGCAGGCAAAGCTGAATCATCAAATAACGGTTTGCCACGTTTGTTAAGCTCAGCTCTCGTTTTTTGGGTTTCAGGCGGCCCCTGGGTGCTGGGGCTTGCTCTCCAGGATCAGCATTTGCTCTGCAGGACCCATCACCTCTCTGAAAATGTTGAAGTTGGCCCGCCTGGGTCGCATCATCCGACTGCTGAAGTTCAAAATATTCCAGGACTTCCCATGCCTGTGTGCGCAGAGTAGCTAGCTGCAGTTGTAAAGATGGAATTGCAACTGCTCGTGGCATCCGGACTCTACTGCCTACTTCAGACCAATGTGAGGAGCTGAAGCTTATGATCCAAGGCGTCTTCACCGGCCTCAGGGTGCTATTTTGGGCGGTCGTACTTCTGATGATGTCCATGTACTTGCTTGGGGTCATTACTAAAACCTTGTTCAACGAATACCAGTACCCGGAGTTTCAGACGGTCCCATCTGCTATGTTCACATGGTTCCGCTGCTTCACGGATGGCTGCTCCGCGTATGATGGTACGCCCCTTCAAGAAAGAGTTCGGAAGGCCAGAAGCTCCAGAAGCAAGACTCGTGTCATTCTACCGTTAAGTCTTCGCAGCATCTAGAAGTACCGGAAGAAGCGTTCAGCTCTTGCTGCAGCTGCAGGATTTTGGAGGTGTCTTCATGCTGGCTTACATCTTGCTCTTCCTCTTCGTTACAATCGGGATCTTCAATTTGATTATGGAGCCTTGGGTGATTTTTGTTAGAAAAAACTTTGTGCCTACCGTTCACACTAGGATCTGCAAACCTTGTGGTTGATGCAATGCAGCCTCAAGCGCACATTGGCATTTGATTCCATCGCGCCCATGGCTTCCTGTCGCATTCCAGGCCGTGTTCATTGACAATGTGGCTGACGGAAGCACCAAGAAACGCCAGCGCCAATTGGGTCAGAACCAAGCAAAGACTGAGCAGCTCGCCACAGCCTTTAAGCCATCTTTGCATTAGAAACTTGTCAGTGCAAAAGGGATACCTGCAGTGAGTTTGAGGTGGGTAATCGCCTCAGTCCTCAGACCCTTGGCGTAAACGTTGGGCGTTCTGTCTCGTGAGTATTGTTGCTGATACTCCAACACATTTCAACATAAGTGTGGTGCAGAAGCCTGTTCTGGCATCCAGCCTGTCCTGTGGTCACAAGCCACACAGGACGCATCATCCTTACGAAGCTTCTGCGACAAGATTTGGACCCTCGGCTCCAAGTAAGAGAGACTACTGAGGGTGGTCTGGTGAAGTGCGCAAGTGCAGCCTTCCATCGTTGACAGGGTCAAGTACATCTGATTGGGCTAGATGCATGCCGCGGCCTGCAGCAGCTGCAATAGCCTGCTGTACCCCAAAACCCCCACTTCATGGGCGGACAAAGCAAGACCAGCTGTGCCTGTCAAAGCTGAAGCCAAACCGTCAGTAAATAGTAGTTTCCATTTTTCTTTTCCAGTATCCCTATATAGTCCCCAATATAACCCCAATAGAGCCCAATATAACCCAAGATAACCCCAATACTAAGGAACAGGAGATGGCAGAGGGGAAAGGCGAGGGCCGTCGAGTTTCCAAGATGTTAGATCAGCGGATCCTTTCATTGCAGGAGATGCAGCTTGGGCAAACTTGTAGCCCCCTTAAGTAGATACAACATGGGGTATATGGGGATCTTATTCTAATATACCCGAAGCAATATTCTATCTACTTAAGGTGGACTATGGGGGCTGAAGGGCGCAGGCAATGATGAAGAAGTGGAGCCTTAGCTACTTCCCAACTGCTAAGACCAAATGGTAGTTTCCCAAAATGGGGGGATCCCAGTACAAGCCCCAGTTGTTGTGAGGACCCTGGGATATATGGGGACCTTACTATTATGTACCCAAAGCCATATTCTATCGACTTAAGGGGGGACTACAAATTTCCAGGGTTGCATTGAAATGGCGTGAAAGGTATGGCTTCAAGCCGCACACTGCGCAGGAGTACGAGCAGCTGACGGACACATGCCAGTAAAACCATTGTGTTGCGTAGGACTTTGTCAGGTATATGTTTGCTTTGTCCAGTATTCAGCATTGGTGGCCTGCTCGGGGATGGATGCCAGGATCAGATTCGTGAACAGATGGCTGAGCGCAATGTGGTTGTCACGAAGGACGAGTTCAATCAGTGGCTATCGACGGACAAGGAACTCATTGATCGGTTGGATGAGTCTGAGATTGATCTCTCTTGCAAGTCTGATCTCTTCGATGTCCTGGACGCGGACTTGAGTGGCGAGCTGGAGTTCGAAGAGATGATCGATGGACTTCTGAAATGCCGCGGGCCCGCCTCGAAGACGGACATCATTGCGGTACGGCTGAAGACTGCGTTCCTTGTGCGCATGCTCCTTAAGGTTTGTGAGAAGCTCGGCATTGAAGACCCGTGACTTCTCGTGCCCAGTATTCTTTGCAAAGGTTTATAGATATTTCTCGCCTGCAGGATGAAGCACCTGCAAAGCAGGCGTGCCGAATTTAGATATCGGTGGCGAGCTTGCGTAGGAGCCCAGCAGCACATCGCATAATTACCCCGAAAACAGGCCCGCATTTTTTCCCCGCGGCCACGCAAGCAAGCAGCCCCGCATGCTCCACATTCGTTGCAGGTCTGCAACTGTTGACTGCAACGTGGTGTTTTTGGTTCATGGTTTCGGTCTGGGCATCCACTCGCACAGCGATATGCGCCAGACACCGTAGATGGCATGAGCTAACCATTGCATGGAAGTTGGCTAGAGCCGGTACACCAGCCGACATGCTCAAGGTGGCAGTGCGGAGCCACATGTTCGGACGTTGGTTTGACGGCTTGCAGAACATGACCATATCAGTCTGGTGTCCTAGTAGACATGGCTCGAGCTGGTATTTTGCTGACCTAGCCAGAGTGCAGGCCCAAGCGCATATGCAGTCAACAGTTCGGTTATGACATGCATATGTGTACATACTGCTTGGTTGATATCGTTGTCAGAAATTCTCTCATACTCGGCCATGACCCGCACCTATACAGAATGTCCCCAAGAAGTACGCTCTCATCCTGATTCTGAGTGGCACTTCTTGACAGGTTGACCAATACAATGTTGCCTCCCCAGATTGCATTCAAAGATTCCAAGATGCAGCAGTGGTCCTTTGCAGCCCCCCTGAGCCCTACAGGTATTAGAGTCCCGCTTAAGTAGATAGAAGATGGGAATATGGGGATCTGATCATGATTTTAAACCCTGAACCCTAAACCCTAAACCCTCAAACCCTGAACCCTAAGGAGAACTAGAATAACCTTTGCAAATCGGACTGCAATTGCTGGGTCCTCCGGCTCCGCTTCGTTTTGCTGAAAACTTGGAGATCCAAAGCCTTCCTGAGGAGATCATTAAGGGTTTAGGGTTTAGGGCTATTACTACTGGGTTTAGGGGTTTAGGGTTTTGGGGTTTAGGGCTAGTACTATTTCTACAGTATTCTTACCATATCTTATCATCCGTATGAGTATTATAAGTTATAAGTAGTAGTAAGTATTATTAGTATTACTATTATGGGTGTTCTTCTTTGTTTTATTTGCCTTGTGAATCCTCAGGCACTAGGCCAGGAGACGGAAGTAAGCGCCTGAAATATCTAACTCCTACTGGGTTTAGGGTTTAGGGTTTTTGGTTGTGCTATGATGATAATGTTATGAAACCTTGATGTGGAATGCTTTGGTGCAAGTTTGAGCTGCGGTCTGCAGACAGTAAACCTGTGACATCTGCATGGCAGCCTCAGACTAGCATGGTGGGATAGTGGAGGTAGACTGACCAATTCTTACTGGTTCTTACTCGGGATTAAGGGAATATAATCCCCATATAAACCCGATATAATATATTCCCTGATTCCCTACTTAGAACCAGTAGGAATTTGGTTGAGTTTATGCAGCTATTTGGACAGATCTTGAGATGTCTTTAAAGACATATGAGTAGCTCTGTGGACATCTGTGGACCTCATATTCCACCGATTGGCAATCTTTTTGGAACTAGTACAATGCGGTGCAAAGGAGAAAAACAAAGCTGAGCGCTGGAAAGTGTGTGTTTAGGAGGAGCCCAGGCGCTTGCCTATAGGGATAATGGAAAAGAAAATGGAAACTACTATTTAGGGTTTAGGGTTTAGGGTTTAGGGTCCAAGGACCCAAATAATAGGGGTTTTAGGGCCCAAATACCATTATAGTTATAATTGATTGCTGCAAGCTCAGGCAAGCACTATTGTGCCTGGCTGATGCCCTATCCTTCCAGATGAGCCCTGACATTGTGTCAGTGAGTGCCGCAATCACGGCTTGCGAGAAGTCCTCGCAGTTCCTTGCCTGAACAGTTGTGTCTGTCATGACTCTTGTCAAAATGTCTGCTTAGGGCCGACTCACTTGCTGGATGTCTTCTTCATTGCCTCATGTGGCATTTGCGAGGTGGCGCCTGGCGGCTGAACTTTTTGGCAGTCTTGAGACCCGACGACTCAAGGCAAACGTAGTATCCCTGGGCGCAGTGATCAGTGCTTTCGAGAAAGGCAGGGGAAAGACCAAAGCACTATTAAGGCAAGTACTGCTACGGTTCTAGAGGTTTGTCATTGCAGCTACAGCTATGAACTACATTGCTGCGGCCACTGCTGCAGCTGCCACTGCTTCTACTGCAATGGTGATGAGGTGAATGTGGACACGGACTCTACAGGTACCATTGCTGCCACCACTACGAGTTCTCTCAATATTGGCAAAGATAAGCGCAACGCTTGTTATTACCTCTATCACTAGGACGGCTACCGCGACTACCGCTGCTACTACTGCTGCTGCCATGGTGCTGGTGCTGATACTGGTGTGGCCAGTTCTGCTTCTGCGCGGCCATCATTGTAGCTGCCACAACAAGTACAGCTACAACTTGCAATTTCTGGCATGGACTCAAAGACTGCCAATCGCAGGTTTATTGACATTAAAACAGGGTGCCCATCAGTACCCATTGCAGATGATGCTCTGTCAGTCTCAGTTGCAGGGACATGTAACTTGCGGTGGCATTGACTACCCAATATAATCCCTATAATCCCTACAGTTTCCATTCTCTTTTCCATTATCCCATTAAAACCCCTAAACCCTAAACTCATTATCCCAATATAACCCCTATATTGACTAGGGGGTGAATGGCAGCGGGCGTTGGAAATGCTGTTGGCAAGCCAGCTGCACCGGCTGCAGGCCGGGGCAGGGGTTGATTTGGGGGTTTCCCAAAATTAGGGGTACCATTTTGGGGGTCCCAATAATAGGGATTAATATTTTGGGGTCTATATTGGGGATCCCCCTATTTTGGGAAACTACCATTTAGTGGCTTCAAGCAGTAGAGCCCAGCCAAGATAGGTCAACACTGTGGCCTGCAATGCTGCTCTCAGTGCATGCACCTCAGCTGCAGCAGCAGTATCAAAGCAGTTTGAAAACCGTATTATATCAGGAAAGTGTGCAAACCACAAGGCGAGAAACGTGGACAATGGCAGATGGCACTGCGGTTGCCGCCTGACCTCATTCCTTCAATTTTTGCGTTTCACTGGTAGAATCTAATTTGGAATGTGTTCGCTGTTGCGGTGAGTACTTTCAGTGTCTTTGGCGTTTTTGGTTTGTGTTTAGTCTTGAATGTTCGAGAGATCTGTCAATAAAGTTTATAGGATGTATGACGAATGCAGGCTTCAGTTCTTATAGAACTCATTTTTATGCTGAATTTCAATGTCTTACGTTGTTTTAGAATTTTCGCCTATGTCAATCTTAACTATCCTATGACATCGGCAGCTCTAGCTTAGGAAGCGCAGCGATATATTGTTGAAAAATAATGTCTGTCCAACAAATACGATGGTTTGGAGCGTATCCTGTGATGCTGGCAAGCATGTAGGTGGCTGTCAAAATTATAGTCCCTTTTTGGATCCCTATTATAATGCGGCTAATTCTAGGGTACCCAAAAAGGGACCATAATTTTGACAACCACCCATGTGCTCCTAGCAGTCCCGCGAGATGAGACCTATCCGATTCTCTCCCAGCCAATGCGATTTTAACTGTGAATTGCAAAGACATGTGCAGATCTGCCATGAATCCTCTATCTTTCGGTATGACATAGGAATATCCTGGAATATGTAGCCTATTTCTAACAATCAGGACTATCATCATGAAGGCTGCTGCCGACAGTCCAAGTTCGGCATGTGGGTCTCCCTTCAAATATTGTCCTGATTCATTGTCTTTTACTTGTGAAAACTTTCACCTAAATCCCATTACTTGGAAATGGAGGTCTCTGTATCTATCATACCTTCCTCAATGATCAGTCTTCTCCATAAGCGGGTCCCATCACATTGACAGCAGCTTTGCCCTATACATTTTGATCTATATCATCTAAATGGAGATTCCTGTCTGACTCCAGCATTTTTTGTGGAGACAAGTGTCCACCCAGGAAGCTTACGCGCTGCCTGCAGATCCTAATTTGAATCATAAATTGTTATGCAGTCTCGCCTCGTCGCCATGTTCATGAGTTTGCCTGGGTCTCCTAATCGTGCTTTTTGAGGCTTCTTTCCAGGTCTGCCATGTGGAATTCCATATTCGAAACCTTGGAGGCATTGAGAAAATGCCCATGAAGAGTACTCAGATGCCTTTATCGTACTAATGCGGCAAGGAAAGATACTTTTTAACCCTCGCGCACATCCCTAGCATAATCCCTGCCAAAAAATGCTAGTCTCTCACCACCTTCTCAGGTATCCCAGTGCATTCTGAAGAAGGAAGCCTTATTATCTCATTTTCTAACTTCCATGTGCATGATATCTCTTCCACTTCATCTGGACTCCCCTCTGAGTTTTGTCATGTTTCCCTCAGCCTTCGTAACCTATCTTATCACATCATCTGTTGCATGTGGTTCTTGACCCTCAGATCATTTTGTATGGAATGTGGATTCTCCCAAGAAAGTGGTATGCTGCATGGACATTGGTTCAGCAACGTCATAATCATGCAACGGTTTATATCTTCCATGAATATTAATATTTCACATGTTCTGGGGGTGCCTGGTGGATCGAGTGCCATTTCTACTCAGGTGTAACAAAACCCCTGCTTGCCCAGAATGTTTCCAGAAGCTGGTCCTCTGTTGTCTGTCTATTCCACTTGCAAATTCTTAGTACAACATCAGAGAACTTCACTACCAGAAAAAGATTTCCTATGGAATGATCTGTTGTTTTTTGCATTGTGCATGCCCTGGGCTATTTATTTATTTTGGTAGATATCAAAATGGTGGGCCCCTTCTACTCCTAAAATATTTGGGTCATCAATGCTCGAGAGACCCAAGACAACAGCAAACGTGTGTCATTTTTGTTTCACAAAGCCTTTCCGAAGCTTCCAGCAGATCAAACATAGGTTTTCCGCACGCACGCCATGTCTTTTACATTGCTGCCCCCCCTCCCCACATCACATGCATATTCCCAAAACCCTAAACCCTAAACCCGCTTCTATTCCCGCAGCCTAGAGGTTGCATGGTCCCTTTCAAAAGGATATATAGGGTAGTATAGGTATATATTGTTGGGGGTTATATTGGGAAAATGGAAAAGAAAATGGAAATTACTATTAAGGTTTTAGGGTGTAGGGTTCATGCAGTGGTATATAAGGGAACATGTGGTAAACTGGAAGATAGCTTGAATTAACTATCTCATGACGATGGGGCTAGTACAGTATGCAGAGCATATTTGAGTAGTATTTTATTTGGGGATACTATGGTACCCAATATAGAGTAAGATTCTATCCTCCTTTTGGGGTATAGTATTTTATATAAGGGATGTTATCTTACTGGGTTTAACCACCCCAAAAAACGCTACTCATTTATTGTATATCCCACTCCACAGGACCTGAAGCTGCTCTGTGACAGACCTCACTATCTCAACATGATTGTATTCAGGCACCGCACCAGCATTGCAATGCTTGGCATGGCTAGTACTCATTCGAATTATTTTTTCGAGCAGATAAAACAGGGATACACTTCGAAAGCTGCGCATAGATCTCCAAAACTCTACACCTTAAACCTCTAAACCCGTGGGACGGGAAAGGGACGGCAGCCCCCAAGTCGGTGGGGTATCTTCTCTTGGGCTAGATTAGGGTGGGGCCAGCAGCAGGGGGCAAGAAAAACAAAGGATCCAACCTTGGGGAGCCTCCCCGAAGCCTTCTTTGGGACTTCCTAGAGCCTACAAAGATCTCCAAAGGCTCTTAGAGGTCTCCTTCATGATCTTCAATTAAACTCAAAAACAGCAATGATCTATGAGCTACGGACTAAATTTAGGTTGGGGGGGACCAATTGGGGAAATACAGGGGTGTATAAGGGGACCAACTCAAGGGATATACTGCAAATTTAGTCCAGGCTCATATGAGATCTTCGGCTGAAATCTGAGCCCCACAACTACACACCGCCGCCACGGCGTAACGTTCTAGTAACTTTGGCGGGCCCATCCTCGAAGCTTCTTGGCCCGTTTGCAAACCCTAAATCCCTAAACCCTAAATCTCTAAACCCTAAATCCCTAAACCCTAAATCCCTAAACCCCAAATCCCTAAACCCTGAATCCCTACACGCTACAACCCTAAACTCACGGTGTGGCCGTTTGAGCCCCTCAGGTTGCAACATGCCATTGACGAGACCATTGACGTGGACGTCATTACGTACAGCGCTGCCATAAGCGCCTGTGAGGACACGACGCCAAGGGCTTGAAAATGGTTTAGGGTTTAGGGTT